AAGAAGAAAAGGGACAAGAAGAGAGGGACACAACCTAGAACAGATAATGGATGTAGAATGGCTCTGTTTGAAATGTTGTCTTCTTAATTCAATCCTGTCTCTACCTGGGGCCCCACATTTCTTAAATCAGCCCCCGCTTGTTATGACTGCTCCTGTTTCTGTAAACATGCATCAGGGTCTAAATATTGCCTGTTTTTCTTTTTAACTTTTTTAATGGACTAAGGGTGTAAAATTCACTTCCTTCTATCTGACTGAAGCACAGTGAAAATCTTCACCAGAATTCAACTCATGCATCCTGCAGCATGTGATTCCTTAAAGATGCATGGTCACATATTATGCCCCCTGCCTGTGTTTGCCCAGGGCCTCACATTTCCTAAATCCGCCCCTGCTTCTAAGTAGGAAAGGTTAATATTTATGATTCTAAAAAATGATGAAGTAGATAATTGTAAATAAAAAACTTTTTTTAATGCGGTGTGAACAAAGGAACTCTGAAAACAAAAGGGGGGGGTGAATAATAGCACAAAGAAATGACTACCTTTTGGAGGTGGGTGTGTGTGTGGGGTGGGGGGTAGTTCAACATCCCTGCATTACTCTACACCCCCCCCCCCCCCACACACACACACACACACACACACACACCCACAGCCGCCGTCACAGCAGCTCACATGTACCTCAGTGCTCCACTTCCTGTTTGCTCTCAGCAGGCAGAGCAGCGGCTCGTTCCTCTCTGCTTTGACCCCAAACTGCTCGGATCGGTTCGGTTCGGATCGGATCGGCCCAGGATGCGGCCCTTCTAGGTGGATCAGTCATGCTTTGGGTGATGAATGAATGGCAAAGAGAGCCTCCAAGCCGCGGACTCTTTGGACTCTTCAGACACGCGCACAGGTGATGGAGGCTGAAGAGTGAAGCGCAGGTGAGCTGCTGCTCTTCACTGATTCTAAACTTCATGATTTGAATGTTTCTAAAGATTGATGGTGTCCGCTGTCATCTGACTGCGCTCATTTAAAGCCTGGAAACTTTTACAGTTTTTCTGTCAAAGCAGAAGTGACAGGAAAAGCCGGTGTTCTGTCAGACCAGCATGGCTAATACGCATGCGCAAGACCTCAGATTTGCATTTATTCCTTTAGTTTTATACGAAAAATAGACCTTAAGGTCAGATCGCCATACGCTTCAAAACACCAAAAAATTATTAATTAAATATTTTTTTGTACAGGACGATAGGGACAGACTAAAGGGACAGACTAAAGGGACAGACTAAAGGGACAAACTATAGGGACAAACTAAAGGGACAGACTAAAGGGACAAACTATAGGGACAAACTAAAGGGACAAACTATAGGGACAAACTATAGGGACAAACTAAAGGGACAGACTAAATGGACAAGCTATAGGGACGGACTAAAGGGACAGACTAAAGGGACGGAATAAATGGACAAGCTATAGGGACGGACTAAAGGGACAAACTAAAGGGACAGACTAAAGGGACAAACTAAAGGGACGGACTAAATGGACAAGCTATAGGGACGGACTAAAGGGACAAACTATAGGGACAAACTATAGGGACAGACTATAGGGACAAACTAAAGGGACAAACTAAAGGGACAAACTAAAGGGACGGACTAAATGGACAAGCTATAGGGACAAACTAAAGGGACGGAATAAATGGACAAGCTATAGGGACAAACTAAAGGGACGGAATAAATGGACAAGCTATAGGGACAGACTAAAGGGACAAACTAAAGGGACAGACTAAATGGACAAGCTATAGGGACAAACTAAAGGGACGGAATAAATGGACAAGCTATAGGGACAGACTAAAGGGACAAACTAAAGGGACAGACTAAATGGACAAGCTATAGGGACAAACTAAAGGGACGGAATAAATGGACAAGCTATAGGGACAGACTAAAGGGACAAACTAAAGGGACAGACTAAATGGACAAGCTATAGG